CGAAGGAAAAGCTATGCGATATTCATGCATGCCCTGCAATCCGGTGGCTGTGGGTGTGACATCCACGACTAGGCCAAACTTTCGCACAGTGGGGCTACTCCACAGTTCTTGTCTTGTGGTGGCCTCATCGACAAAGGTGAGCTGCGGAAGAAAGAGGGCTAGAATGACAAAGACTTCTCGGAACGGGATCGGCGCCAGTAGGTCTCGAGCCATCTCCGTCAGCCATTGAGCACATGCACTTTGAGTACCTTTGCCAACACGAAAGTTTTTGAGCAGCAGCGCCTGTGCTTCTTCCATGGAGGCGATTGGCTGTCCTGCCACACAGCTTTGTAGTAGCACCAGCAATTCCTGGTCAGGACGGTGGAGATTGGACACTAACAAGCTGATAGCTCCTTCCCAATCATCGCTCGTCATGGCCGTTTCGAATCGAATCCAGGAGGCAAGGCGCATCGGAGCGGCAATTCGATCGCGGCGAGGAATAACATCCGGGTGCGTGAGCTTCAGTGTGGTGAGACTAACTTTGCCCGTAGGGAGTTGGCACTGGAGCCAGTGCCAATAACAGTGCTTGTGCTTGCCCATCCATCTTGCAGAGTCTGTTACATACGTGATGTGCAAGGATCGTTGCAACATGTCGAGCTCGTTCTCTGTCGGCTTCCAGTCACACAGACAATCCTCAGCAGCATGGACAAGATAGTAGTTGTGCCTTTCAGGTTCTGCAGTGGCTACGAGTGCTGCTAAGACACTCTTCGGCATCGCAATGGCGCCTAGGCGCGCTGTGATCTGACTGGCTGGCCAGAGGCAACGAATTGCTAAGGCAATCACTGCTCCAGTGTAGCTGCCTGCACTAAAACCATTTACTGTAAAATGGGGAGGATCTGCTTGTTCAGCCGGCCGCAGACACCCAAGCACTGGCAAGTAGGCAAGAAGTCGCAGTGGCTGGAGCGAAAGAAGCTTCCACCAAAGACCACTGAGAAAGGCTTGGTGCGGCAGCCGTCGATGAGCAGGGAGCAGCCTGGCTGCTTGCAACACATGCTGTGTTCGTTGGTACAGAAGGGCTGCCTTGCCATACCCTAGAGCTTCCCATTTCTGGCACGGATTCTGTGTGAGCGCAAAGAGGGTGGCGACTTCATGCACTCCGGTCGACCAGCCATAGGCAACCCCCCATTCCTGTTCATCAAGGACATCTGCGGGGGAGAGTGACGGCCCATAGACTTGACTGTCTCCTACCGGCGGACACGTGCAATGGAAGTGCGGGGGGACCTCACCTTCAAGGGCTCCGCCCCCCAGGCCACCACAGTTGATTTGAAATACTGACGGCAGTGGTGGGGATGTGCCGCCAACCCAGTACTCATTAAGCTGGGCAATCATCCATAGGACAGTGACCCAGAGTATTTCACCTTGCTGACGTTGGTATATAGCTTCAAACACCTGTGGTGCAATACCTTCCAGGGGCATAACCGTGCCTCGGAGCTGACAGAGCAAATCGCTATTGACTTGAAGGAATTGCTCTTTTTCTCCGGGGACAAGACACTGGGGGTGAGCTAATGCAACCTGCAATTCCTCATGCGGACATGCTTCAATGTCTTTGTGGACTGCAACTACCCCTCGTAGTTTGGCGACTTGACTCCACGGCGCAAAGAGGGGAGGAGACAGCTGTTGCGGACAGGGAGTGCATGGACGAGGGTCAGGTGCCTGGCTACCCTGCGTCGAGTCGCTTTCGATTGCTTGAGCAAGTCGATCCGCTCTCTTGGCAGAAGTATCAGACGAGGGCGTGGACGCTGACTCCACGTCTGCATCACCGAACTCTGCCGGAAGACAGCTAAGGCTGTCCCCCTGCAGTTGTGCTGGAAAGAGTTCTGTCGCTTGCGGACGAATCGCCCGCCACTTTAAGAGCAGGCAGAAGCGCAAGGCACTGTTCCCTGCTACCCCAGAGAAATAGCCTGTGAATTTGCAACCTCCTATTGGTTTCCAAGTCTCCACAACCCATGCGGGGGGGAGGTTGGGCATGCCTAGTATCGCAATCGGTAGCGTTTCCCACCCCTGTTGCTCCAGCTCTCGTAAAGCAGCTTGCGCTCCAACTTTGGCCTTGCCAAAGGCATGAAATATGGCAGGACGCATGCGGTTGCGCGGCAGTGCACTGGCTTGAAAGAGATGTTCACCTGGCAACGACGCGACTGTGCATGGCCCAGTAAGCATTGGAAGCACTGAAAGTATTCCCTGTTCGAAGGTGGCTCGAGCCCAGCTAGTGACCCACGGCGTTCGCTCTCTTCCTGCAGGGGTGAGGGCCCTGGGATGGGATTGCCGTGGCCACTTGATTGTGCCGCCTGGACCAAGTTCATTCGGGGTGATAACAGGGCTAGGCCAAAAGTGCTTACACATGTAAAGCCCGTATAAGGACCAGACCATACATAGGTCAAGGGCGGTTTGCATTGCGACACCAACAAAAGGGGTAAACATAGTGCCACTGATGACTGTATCGCTTGGATTGACTGGTGGTCTGGCTCTAGATACCAAGGCAAGGCGGCCCGCCTGGAGGCTCTTCGCCAGGGTCGAAGCAGTCGCATCATGTTCTAGCGGACTGTGCTTGCTGCGATTGCCGATTGAAATGACCAGTCCTGCATTATATTCCAAGTGAGCCTCTGTGAAGAGGAGCATGCCAATTCCTGCACAGGAGCTAGACTCTGAACGTGCACGCCCTAGCAGGTCGACCCACTGGTGCTGCTGATGCGCCAGCTGCAGTAGATCTTGCACTTCAAAAAGCGTGACTGGTACACAGTCATTGTCAATGAGTGCAAAGTGTTGCGCCGGATACAAGAAACGCGCTGCCTCTAACACAAAAACTCCTGCCCAGTAGTATGGAACCTTGTGGAGTCCAGTAGTAGCATCCGCACACACCCAAAGTATGTCAGTTGTTTCTTCCTGGGGACCTACTAGACACCTACGTGAGGCCCACCATGCTGCAAAAGCCGGCCAATGCGGGACTTCTGCCGGCATGCGATTGTCCACTATTAAGTAGATCATTTGATTATTCATGATCAAGTCACGGTGTGACATTAGTGTTCGAATGATGGCAGTGGTATCAGGCAGATCACCCTCTGTTTCAAGAGTGGGATACCCCTCGTCCTTTTTGGGTGGCTGAGCTCGAACATCAGACAAACCAAGAGTAGGGCAGGCAGAATCAAGGCCGAAAGGACTGCTGAGAGTGTCTTTCATAGCCATCGCTGCATATGCTTCCTCCTGGGACTGGTCCACACTAGCCTCCGTACCCCTGGCAAAGCTGGCCTGGCCATCTGCTGTCAGCCACTCCGCATGATCACGTGTGTATACAAAAGGCACGTGGACTCTGTCCTCCAACCCATCCGTTAGGTCCAGTGAATTACTGTCCTCCATCCACGGGTCATGTGACATTATTGTTGCTCTGCTCTAAGATACGAATGCAGCCCCCGCCAACTAAGGCTGGCAGTTGCCCTGAGCGCCACAAGCAAACGAAAGGCAACAATGGCGATGTCAGCTAAGGCTGACCTCACACATGTATGCTGGACGCTACGTCCTGCTGCGAGCCAAACATTACAGCAAAGTGCATCTACAGAGGATCAACTGCATCTAGCTTTTCGTGGGGGGCAACTGCCAAACTGTACCATAAGAACCTAACAAAGAAAACAAAAAAGGGGGACATCATGTTGCAGCAGAGGCGTGTCTCTACGACCTTGTAACTACTGGTCATGATCATCCGCGTGCGGATGCAGAAGGGAGAGCAACCAGGCTACGTACACCAGGCCACAAAGTTGGGAGTGTAGGTCAGCCAGGGGAGTGAGGAGAGCACCCTGTACATCTTGAGGCATATAGTCTACAGCATGTAGGGCTGATTCGATCTGGTGGTGTGCGCGTTCTGTGTGCCGTTGTGGGGCCGCTTGTTCAGTAGGCTGCGTGTCTACTCGAAGGGCTTGCTGTCGTTGCCTGTCATCATGAGACCAAAAGCCCACTCGCCGAGGGAGGGAGCCTGACAAGGGGCGTGTCTGTAGGAAAATATCAAGAGGGTCTGCGTTCTCTGTAAAGATCCTAGCGTTCACTGCTTCAGCCAACACAGTGAGGAGGTGGCTTTCATGGTGCTGTATGTGCAAGATCATCCTGCGGAGCCGAGTTCGCTTTGTGCCATACGTTGTGGCTCCCCTGGTGTTGATTGCAATACAGCCCTGATGATAGAGCGGGATGATGGCCCCTTCAACAGTTGCCCGGAGCTTTAGCAGAGCTGGCGGAAATTCAAACCCTTCTGTCCATTCTGGGAAGGGGGTATTTACGTTTTCTTTAACTGCATCCACTGGAAAAAAATGCAGCAAATAGCACTGCGCCCTCTGCCCCCTATAGACGAAATTAACAATGAGGTCGAGCACCCCATACCGAATGTCCTTATGGTGGAGCTCAAGACGTACAAAGTTGGTGACATCAACATACGTACCATCGTCGGCCAGAAACACTGGTTCTGGATGTGCCTGCATGGCGAGTCTAATATGCAGCTTGGCTTCACTATAGTGTGTGTAAGCGAAACCCGGCTAGTACTATGCAAAAGAGAACCGGCTGGCAAGTTGTTTCTCTTGCTCTGAGCCAAAGGTCTGCAGAGACAAAAGGAAACGTTTGATAGGGGGCCCGTGTTAAGATGGAAAGCGGGGCATTGGGTCTCTGTAGCAGGAGCGAGCAGGGAAGCGTATGGGGCTGTCTCTCAACAAGTAGGTCCTCACCAGGACCGCGGTCTTTTCCAAGAGCGCGTACGCTCAGAAGCCAGCCATGTGCATCAGGCTGAGGCGTGAAAAAGGGGCCCCTTCCTAAATGGGCAGCGGAACATGAAAACAAAGGCTCAAGCAAGACCTGAAGCTGGGTTCACAAATTGCACCAGCCTAAAAGGAAAGATCAGGTCTTGCTGCTTCATCTATGGCTCTCACAGCGGTGCGGCCACTCTTGGCATTCTTCTTCGCAGCGGTGAAGGAAGGGTCGAATGCTATGCATCACAAGCGCTTGGACAGGTACTTTGTGAGACCTGTCCTGCAATCAGGTCGTTTCTTTGTCATGCTGTCGGCCAAGTCGTAATCGCTTGCAAGCCATCTCAAGGAGGTGCCGACGCGCATCATGCTCTCACGCAATTGCATGGCTTGTAGGGCACTTCGAAGGTTGCTGAGTCCCAAAAGAGGACTCTCATTCACCTGCACAGCATCGTAGCCACCTCTGGAGTCTGTGCACAAGATTCCAGGTATGTCGCGAGCTTGTTGCTCCGCCCACGACACTTGGTCAGCATGGACCGGACGGTCCCATCCGGCTCCGTGAAGTTCACTCCACAGCAACTTGACGCGAAAGTTGGCGTCCTCGCCCTCAAGCACCGCCTGCACTTCTGCGTCATTGGAACCAATCGCTTTGCGCTTCAGCTTCCAGGCCCTCCACTGAAGGAGAACCAGGGACACACCTGTCCAGATTTGGCCTCAGGGCCAGCGAGCATCGTGATGATGCCTCCCGTGGAGTCGCCGCCAGGCCTGTTCACGTGGGCTTGGTCTGCAAAAGTAACGATGCAGACGTCACGCCAGGTCTTGGCCTTCTTCAGCTTGAAGAACTTGAGGTCACTGGGAGACTGCCGGACTTCACCAATCATCTTTTGAATCTCCACGGCATGGGCCATTGTGCCATTCTTCACCAATTCGCTGAGCAGAATGTTGCACCGGCCACATAGAAGTGGTTGCGTCTGCACAGCAAGCCACTGCAGCGCACCTAAGCTTGCCCTGCAAGCTGCAAGGTCCTGTTTGGACAGTGGTGTGGCTTCATCACGCAGGCGTTCAACAGGAATCTCGACATCGGTGAGCATGTCGATGTAGTACTGTTGGTTCACAGTGATCACCTGGTCACCATCGTTGTCCAGGGTGACCTTCACATCAGTGCCTGCATGGCGATACTCATTGCATTTTGCTGATCCCCACTGGTACGCCTTGTCGATGCGGGCGCATATGGAGGACCACTCTGAGCTGGATGGGTCACCAATTCGGTGAAAGTCGTCTACGTGTCCGCCCATCATGCCGATGATCTTGGGATGACCGGCTGCATCTTTTTCTGTTGAGCTTGCCCATAGCCACAAGCACCTTTCTCCCATGGCCGGTCGGCCACCAAGTGAACATAGGGTGCGATGCAGGTCGAGCCATAGGCCTCTCGGCGCCGTGGTGCTGCCGTAGATGTTCTTGAGGATCTTCATGATGCCTTCAGGCCCAACTTGTAGAGCTTCACGAAGCTCAGCAACGCCACTGGTCCACATCTCTTCATCAGCCGAGGTTGGCCGTGTTTGAAGAAAGGCGGTTGCCAGATCCAGACCTTCCAACTTCCAGCCATGTTGGCATGTGATCTGGTACAGAAGGTTTCTGGCAATGACCGACTGCACAGGTGAGCTTGTTCTGTAGGAGGTGGAACCAAGTTCGGGATGCTCGTAGCCCAGGAGCACGATGCGGGCCTTGGCCTTTCTGTCACCCTCCTTGGTGTGCACAGTTGATGGATTGGACATTCCATCTTGGCGAGCAGCTGCACGATCTTCAGGAGGAATCAGCTTCCAAGTCAGAACCCATCTGGCTCGGAGAATTCTGCCAGAGCTGAGGGCGGTCTTGGTCTCCGCATCATTCAGGCTCTTGCGGACTGCTTGATTCTGGATGAAGCTGTTGACTTCCTTAGTCTTCGCCCGAATGAAGAGAGCACGATGTTCAGCAGAGAGCTTGCCGAAGATCACCTCAGAGTCTCTCATCTTCTTGACCAGGAATGCGGTTGGGTTGCGAAGGAACATCTTTTGCTGCCTGTTGGAGGTGAAGTTGAGCTCAAATTCCATGGTCATCACATCGGGATTGTCGTCCAAAATGGTTTCGAAACACTCCCAACTTTGATCTTCCTCAACGACCATATTGTCGAGCCAATTGACATCACTGTAGTTGGGCAGTTGCCTGGAAGACGTGTTGAAGAGATCGGAATCGTCATGGTCCGTCTTCCTCCGCTTCTCATCAGGCGGCACGATTGATGAAGGTTCCTCTGCTGGAGCTGTTGGGACTGGAGGTCCAGTAGAGGGTGCACTGCCAGTGCCGTAGTCATTCACAACCTCGATGGAAGGATCAGGAGGTGCCGGTTCATCTGGTATGGAAGGTTCATATTCTCCCGTGTCTTCCAGTTCTTGTAGTCGGCGGCGAACTGCTGCCGGAACCATGCCAGAAGGAGGGACACGCTGCTTGAAGCCAGCTCTTCGAAGAGGTACAAGAGCTTGATCAGGATCGGGTTGATCTGGTAGATCAGGTTCTTCTTGTTCATGTTCTCCCGGGACTTGGTCGGTGAGATCTGTGAAGTCTCGCTGAGGGAGAAGGTCGGCAATCGAACGCCACTGAGTTGGGTCGTCCTTGTTGGCAATCTCATAGGCCATCTGTTCAGTCGTGGTGACTGGTCGAACGGAGTGGACACTGCACCTCATCAGCTGAGTTCCAATCAACACCCAGACGATGTGTCGTCGTTCATCTTCATGATCTTGATGAGGTAGAACTTCATGGAAGATCACTCTGCCAGGTCCAATCCAGTGTGGTTTTACGGCCTTTCTGCTTCCACCACGCTTGCCTTGATGGAGATGAGCGGGCCATTCACGTCGCCACACCTTGACCAGCTGTGTTGGGTGAAAGGTTCGAAGAGGTTGTCGAACAGTGCTGTTCTTCAATCGGCTCATCACACGTAGTGCTCGTGTTTTGCGAGCAATAGCTTCAGCCTCTTGTCTAGCTCTGACCAGGGCTTCATAGGACATGCTGTTGCCATCTTGTAGAGGATCGTGGAAGGTGCGAATGTCTTCATCCTCCAAGGTATAGTCCTTGCCATAGCACCATTGATAGGAGCTGTAGCCCTTGGTGTACTCGGTGGAGTTCAGAGCTGCAGCTGAAAGCATGAGAGTGACCTTTGGATCCAGAGAGGGTTGATCTATCTGGATGGCCGATGCTGTCATCTTGATGTCTTTGATCGCGGACTCGACAATGCCATGCGCCCATGATTCCTTCTCGGCAGGGAAGGTCAACTGGATGCCAACTTGATTGCAGAAGTCATGTACTTCTCGGCTTTTGAAGGCTGTCGCATTGTCGGGAATGAGGATGCGAGGCTTGGGTTTGTCACTCAGCCATTTCTCAGCGAGGCCTTGGATGAAGTCAGCCGAACTTTCACCTTGCATCTCAAGGAAGCCGTAGACCTTCACGATGTGGATCACACGAAGGCGAGTCGCCAGGTCAATGAAGACGATGAATTTCAGCTTCAGTTTCTGGTGTGGCACTAGCCACTCTGAAGAGTCCACACCCACTGCCTCCCATGGTCGATAGGCCAGAGAGGTTGCTGCCGGGGGCACCAGTCCAGAAGAAGAGCTACCGGGTTTGATGCTGGCGCATGCTGAGCACTTGAGATCTCGTGCCATGGCCAGTTTCCAGGCCGGGAGTCCAGCGTCCTTGAAGAGGTGGATGAGATTCTTGTTGGTCGGGTGTCCTGCGGCTCGATGATAGTGCTTGAGCTTGGCTTGCCAGGCTTCTTGTTCTTGAGGTGTGATGCCATCAAAGATGTTCGGAGCTGCTGCGACCACATCACCTGTTGGTTCAGGATCATCATGTGATTCTTCAGCAGGTAGTGCATTTTGAGTGCCAGGATCATGCCATAGACGATCTTGGAAACCTTGAGGTAGAAGACGACGTTGCCAGTTCTCGTCTTCACCTTCTTGAAGTTCACTGGAGTGAGAGGTCAACTGACGTAGATGTCGGAGAGGAGCAAGTTGACGTTTCCAGTGCCTCACAATGGATTCGACCATCCGCTTGGGATAGTATGCAGATCTGGAAGTCTCAAGTCCTTGGATGAGGACGTGCTTGTGATTCTTGGGGCAAACCTTTGCCCGGAAATTCTTCCAAAAGAGCTCATCGGTGGTCTTGATCATCCACCGTTTGTGGAGGTAGCCAGTTTCATTCTTGTCCATCATGCCATAGTTGCACCCATCCATGCGGCATTGCTCCCAGGGAATGCCACGATGGTGTAGTTCGGCTTCAAGTTCAACCATGGGCTTTTGGCTCCATCCACTGCGCGGGAAGGTCCATTCAAAGTAGATGTCGATGTTGGGGTCATCATCGAGGGAGTCCAAGATGAAGTCCTTGGCCTTCCGAAGCATGCGGCGTTCACGACGCCTCATAGATTCCAGAACTTCCTTCTTCTCGGGGGTGTTGTAGTTCACCTGAGTCCACTGGCACCAGCGAGTGCAAGGAAGCGAGAACCAGAGCTTACGAGGTCGATCTTGTCGACGCTCTTGTTTGAGTCGTTCCCAGGTTTCATCACGGTAGATGTCATAGCCCTGGGCGTAGTTGATGCGCCGGCTGTTGATGCCATGGTCATTGGCTGCCGAAGTGAGCCAGCTGTTCTCAGAGCATGCAATTTCCCACATGCCCATGCGTCCTTCCAGATTAATCTGAAGAGCCACCGTCATCAGCGAAGCCGTCATGAGGTTCACCATGTGCATAACCTTGTGAGCCACACGATTTGGCAAGGGTTTGGTAGTAGAGCTCGCTGATGTCATAGTCTTGGAAGTCTTTGAAGCGCTCTTCAATGAGGAAGGTTGAACATAGTGCACAGATGCCGTAGAGCTCTGTTGAGATGATGCACCATCATCCATCACTGCTGCTGACCACTCTCGTCCTCGTAGGCCGCTGGCAGTTCATCCTGTTCCTGTCGGCGGTCTCGAAGAATCTTCATGAGCTGAGCCTTCTCGTGGTCGGTCAGGAGATTCTGCAGGTCGTTGGCATCCGTTTGCAGAAGTTCCCAGCTCGCTGAACTGGACGGAGCGGGCGGCGACTGAATTGCCGGAGGTGTCTGGTAGCCTGTGGGCTCCTGTTTCACAGGGGATGACGGATGCTGATTTGGAGCACTTCTGGATTTCACCGCTGTCTTCTTCACAGGCGTGCTGATCGCCTGCTGCACCAAGGTCTCCAGCTGAGTGTCTGCGGTGATCTTGTCCATCATTGCCTTGCAGATTCGAGCTGTTGGGCGAGTGCCCTGCATCAGCGGTTCCAGCTCGGTCAACATGCGCTTGATCATCACGTGGTTGAGTGCTTGAGTCGAGTTGCTTGGAGCGCCCTTCTTTGGGATGTAGGCCAAGCGCAAGTTGCAAATCTCGCAGTGCGACCAGGTTCCGTGCATGTTGCTCTGCCACGTTCCTTGGACGTGTCGATTGTAGCAAGGCCAGCAATTTTGAGCCCTCGGATCGCGAGGATCCATCTGGATCGCTCGAGAGGTGTCCGGAGGTTGCGAGGGCTTCTTGGCCGCTGGCGGTTTGAGGTTCTTGATGAAGTCCACCATATCCTGCTCGGCCTGAGTCGTCTGATGCTCCATTGGGCTTCGCGACATGGCCTTGCAGGTGAGCACGAAAGGAGATGTCGTCCGGGGAAGTCGGGCTTGTAGCCGATGAGCTCATGTGAGCCAGAGAAGCTGCAGAAGTGGATGAAGACTTCACATGCTGATAGAGCTTCCAAAGAAGAGATCGACGATCGGCTTCGTTCACGTGACTTGCCATTGAAACATGTGCATTGTAAAACTCAAGAGGGCGAAATTGCAAAACTCCACAAGCAAGATCTTGTTGTTCATGTTGTTCACAAATGTGCACAACTGCCGTACCCTTGGTGTTGGTGTGACCCTTGGTGAGGTGGTGGATGATGTCATAGACAAAGTGACCCTTGGAATTGGTGTTCAGTTGATAGATCTCGGGATTGGGGTCGACACCGTCAATGACATAGCCACTAGCAAAATCAACCAACATCTGACAACCATGTGCACCAATATGATCCATGCCAATCAAAACGGGGACGACATTCTTGGGGTTCATCTCTTCAGGATTAGGGAGTGAAAACAGCGAAAACTGACGAAGTTCACCAGAGGCCCTCGAACCAATTGTGACACGATATAGTGCCTGCCCCCATCTTCCATTCCCAAACCTGAAAAAGGGCCGCATGTATGGCTGCACGTCAATGCGGGCGTTCTTGTCGTGAGAAAGGATCGATTGGATGAGTCCACGGACGGCCACATCCGGAGCTGCAGAAGCTGTTGCACCGCAGTCCAACATTCCTGTGGATGCTGCCGATGCCTCTGGCATCGTGGCGGACAAGTTGTTCATGTCCTCATATAGCTCAAGTCCTCCGAGGTCATAGTGCATGGTGTAGGCATTCACTGCTGGACGAGAAAGAGGTGGCATCTTGCCACGTTGTTTTCCCTTTGACTTGGAGGTCCAAAAACTATCATGGGAAACCATGGAGGCGTGTTTTGATTTCCCCTTTCCCTTTTTGCCCTTCCCCTTCATGAAGAAGAGCTGCTGGTCCGAGTAGTCGGCCATGTAGGAAGACTTACCCTTGCCCTTGCCGATGGAGTAGGGTGGATGCCGTCGGTCAGGGCAATCTCGAACAAAGTGGGGTCCACCACACTGAAAACACTTTGGGCCTTGGCCAGCTTGACCAAAACCTCTGTCTTTGCGCATTTGTTGCGTCGTGCGCTGTGCTTCAACCCATGTTCGTTTTGCTTCCATCGCCAACTGTTCTGCTGCTTGTTCTGCTTGTTGTGCTTCCTTCAACTGGTCATCCTCTTCCTCCACTGCTGCAAGGGTGGATTCGCCATGAGGTTCTTCATGCCATTCGCCCCAATCATCCTCAGGCCATTGTTCACGCCATTGTTGATCACCACCATCAGGCCACCAGCCATCACCATCCCAGGCGTCATGAGGATCATCCTCCCAAGACTGCCAGTTCACATAGCCATGGTCACGGCCGGGAAACGAAGAGTGATGATGACGTTGGCCAAGTAGTTGTTCGTCCCACAGGGTCTGAAGAGCCTGTGAGATGGCCTCAAACTCCAACTTGTTCTGAGTCGTGCTGAGGATGTCACGAGTCTCCTCAGCGTTCAAGCATGCGGCTTGGAGAAGTCTCCAGCCACGAAGAACTCCCATGATGAAGCTGTCCGTCGGAGAGAGCTCGTTGATGGCCACAGAAGGTGCTTGCACCGACACTGCACGAAGTGAAGGAGGTCCAGCGCTCAGTCCACCACGGCTCGGTGAGGAGCCAGCGCTTGCACGCTCAGCGGCAGGAGCTGCGCCAGAGTTGCCACCTGCTGCAGCCGAGGCACTAGTAGTGGTAGTCGTTGGAGCTGGATCTTCATCGCCAGGTTGTGCATCATGAGGCACATCGCCATCAGGAGAGTCAACTTCGTTGCCATCATCATCATACCACCAGTCCCATTGGTCTTCAACCGGTGGGAGGCCGAAGTCGAGCTCGTTCTGGTCGATGCCATTCTTTTCCTCCCATAGCCGCGTCAAGGCCTCAGAGAATTCCTCATAGCCTAACGTTTCGCGGACGAGGAAGTTGGCCATGCTTTCGTTGGGCCGTCGCCTAAAGCTCAGGTACTGCTGAAGGATCGCGGCCGTGTTTGGTAGGGTGCGCCGCACGAGCGGCGAACCTGCGAGCTTCCGGAGCAAGGTCAAGGTTCCATCCGGGGCATCGAACTCGCCACGGTTCCATGACATAGCCAAGAGGCGTGCAGGTCCTTGAAGCCGGCTGATGAGGCGAGAAGCAACATAGCGTCTCTTGTGCACAGGTGTTGATGAGACAAACCATGCCACTTCTTTCGTGTAGCGCCTCCAGCCACGAGCCTGTCCATCCCATGTGGGGACTGATCCGTCCCTCAGTTCCGCCATGCCACCAGGAAGGTGCCGAAGATAAAGTCCAGGAAAAAGATCCGGCAAGGTCCAAAGCTTGCCAGGTCAAGGCAAAAAGGTCGCCTTCTTCAAAGGCCAGGAGAAAGAGCTCAGCAGTGCCAAGAGGATATCGGTAGACCACCAGCGAAGTCAAGGAACACCGCTGCGTGAAGACACCGCCAAAGGAGACAAAAGCGATGATCTTCAAGTCGGAAAAGGTCCAGGAGCTTTTGCTCCGCTACCAATGTAGCAGGAGCGAGCAGGGAAGCGTATGGGGCTGTCTCTCAACAAGTAGGTCCGCACCAGGACCGCGGTCTTTTCCAAGAGCGCGTACGCTCAGAAGCCAGCCATGTGCATCAGGCTGAGGCGTGAAAAAGGGGCCCCTTCCTAAATGGGCAGCGTAACATGAAAACAAAGGCTCAAGCAAGACCTGAAGCTGGGTTCACAAATTGCAGTCTCTCTACCGATTCACTGGACGGGGCACTTCTTTGGGTGTGCAAATGCACGCGGCGGTGGTAAATGCTCATGCGTGCCGTCCTCCGTAACACGATATTGAATGTGCCCATGTGTGACATACTGGTGTGCAGGGAGTCCACTGCTAGTTGCCTGTCGGGGAGGCCAGCCGGCGGTCGATTCCGTGGCCGGCGGCATCATCGTATCCCCTGGACCATCAGAGGGGAAGTCTGCGACGGCCATGGCGGCCCCCCCCTTCACCAGTGTCCGGGAGTCGTGCAGCATGCGAGAGCACAGCCAGCAGCTTTTCATGGGTAGGATCAGCTGGTGTATCATGCCTGGGAGGATGCGCCGGCTTTTTTGGGTGAGTACGACCAGTCGTTTTCCGTTTAGGTGAGGCTTCCTCCTTCAGAGAGGGGCTTCTGTGTCCCGTTGTCTGAAGACCTGCTTTGACCGGGGCTGCAGGAGTCGGGGCTGGCTCATGCCCTGTTGGCTGAAACAACGGGTGCTGTTCCGCAAGTGAGAGGAGGAGAGCATCAAAAAATTCTGCTAGTGGTAGCCGTATACGCAAGACCACCTCAACTTGTGGGCGCCCCTCTGGGCCCTGAGTGAGGGAACACTGATGTGGGCCAACAATGAAAGGCAGGGCCATGAGCAAAAAGTTGCTACTGATTGTCCTACACAGGTTGGGCAGAGGCGTGCAATCACTACTCAGCTTCGAGCCTGAACAGCAGCAGGCTCTGAGTCTCATGCAGTGTGGAGCAGGAGTAACACAACTACCATGACGGTAACAAAGGTATATAGCAAGTAGTAATGAAGCACGTGATGCGGGTCAGCGGACTCGTTACTGGCCAGCCAATAAGGATGATAGCTAGGCCCGATCTATTCATAGAGAAACCACTCATGTGGTTGCGCTCTGCGTCTCTCGCAGGGCGGTGAGTATCATGTCCATTTCGCTAGCTAGTGTCCAGCACGCATTGGCCCCTGGTTGAACATTGCAGTGCTGATGACGTGCACGCACATTTTGAAAGGTGCGTTGAATATCGCACGCTAAGGTACGCACCGTGCTCGCACGAGTGATGAGTTCTCGACTAAGCCGTGCGTGCGGCGCATCATGCCCATCAATCAAGTCCTGGTCAGGAAGGGCTTGCAAAGCATATACACCTAACTGGGCCGGGGGGGCGCACTACCGCAGCCTGGGGGCTCATATCTCCACTCGCTCTGTTTGATTGCTCTTGTATGGGGGTGGGGCGACTTTGCGGCAACATCCAGGGCGGGATTGGCGGTGTCGGACGTACTGAGGCAACAGGGACCGCCGGTAGCGTATACATTTGCGAGAAAGGGAAGGAAGCTAAGGCTTCCCCCGGTTCAGGAGGTCTGGCCTGTCCTCGCCCTACGGCCCATCCATGAGGAGAGAGACAATCAGCTTGCTGAAGGATGCGATAAACTGTTGCCCTTTGTGGGGCACACCTCCCATGCAGGAGAACGCCATCATGTGTGATGTGCGGCGAGTCCTCGAAAGGAAAAAGGACCTGCCCACTAGTGAGCACCAGGTAAGATCGGCGTATCTCAGCTGGCACCGCAACTAATTGCATCTCCGATATGCGAGGGCATGTTCCATCATCCAAGGGAGTTCTTGGGAAGCCAGCAACAGCCAGACGCAGCGGGAGCTGTCTCTGGGCTACGTTTACGTTGAGTTGGACAAAATGTACCTCACCATCAGGGTGTTTATAGATCATGCGAGCAAAGGGAGAGAGGTCCAGGCCCCCAGGTCCAATCTCCATTGGTCTGGCACTCTTAGCTGCCTCTGTGCTTCGCTCAGTGAGGATCTGGACTAAGGTCCAGACCCTCTCTTCTGAGGTAGATGTTGCTATGGAACAAGGTTGCAGGAACAATCCGCCCGTGGTAGCTGCCCTGTCTGTCGCAGCAGTTTGAGCCCAGATAGCGGAATCATAAATGAGACAGCTCTTCAGGCACTGTACAAACTACAAGCGGACAAAGGAAAATAAGCAACAAGTGAAACAAATGTCATTAGAATAGACAGACAAGGAGGGAGTCAAAAACGTAACGAGGGAAGCAGCGACAAGGGAATGGATCAAACAAAAGATGGATTCCTTGCATGTGTGCACCGAGGTTACGAATCATCGTATACGCCGTCGCTTGGTACTGTATGCTCTAATTCTTTTTGTGAGTCGTTGCTCAAGGGCTTCCTGCTGCTCAGGGTGCGCGCCAGTGAAGGTGCGTTTTCTGTGTATGCGCACTACTGCAGGGAGAGGCCGTTGGGAGGAGGCACGGGAGTGTGAGCCGGTGACAGGGGTCGTGGAGTTGCATTCAGATAACAGCTGTGCAAATTTGGGCTGCAAAGAGTCACACCGCATCAGTGGCGGCTCGGCGAGGTCAAAGCTAAAAGTACGGCAGAGATAAGTATGCAGGGCTGTGAGCAAGGCATTCTCCGGTCGCGGGGCAACCCAGAAGCCATCATGCAACCAAATGGCTGAAGCAAATCCTACCCGAGGTTGTAAGAAGGAATAGGCAGCCCATGTAACCTGCTGTTCTAAGACCTCGAAATAATGAAAAGGAGCCCCTCGTCCTGTTTGTACTGGACCAGTTGGGCACCATGAGGGGGGATGGTGCATGGCATAACGGCTAGCAGCGAACACTTCTCGAGCAAAACTCACCAAATGACCTGATGGTTCCACTTGTATGCGCTTCTTGAGGTACTCTATAGCTTCCTGCGGAGTGGCACTGTTGATGATAACAAGTGGCCAGGTCTTTACTAGAGGGCCAATTTCATCCTCAGCTATGTATGTCCGAAGAGCTCCTCTGAGATAATCTCTCATTTGCGCAACTGGCTGTAACGTAAGGTGAACCTCATCCGTCTTGCATTGTCGTCTCATGAGTTCATAGTGCGCTCCACTGATATCGATTTCCCAATGCGAATTGCCAAAGAGGAGCAGCCGAACCTGCCGCGGCAACCGCTGCGCTGCATTGCCAACTGAGTAGAACCGGCCTCCCAAGGCGTCAACGGTGGGCTTGTATCCTACGCTGAGGCAATGAGAGGACGACGCTGCCAGAGCAATATAGTCCATTGCAACCCATTTATAGTGTGGGTGCCTTCGGAGTAGCGCGTGCATTTCTTGGGGAGTGGGAGAAGGGCACTCCGTGAGCACAAAAGCTGGGGCTTGCAGCGCATCTCCCTGCTGAATGATAAAGCCCAGAGTTTGTGCTAGGTGAAAGGGCGGGAGAGCTACATGATGCAAGGGGACAAGTGGGTTGCCCTCCGCCTCCTTGGCTGCAGCACTGGCCTGACCAGCAAAGTAGTCGGCTAGACGATTGCATTCCCGTGGCAGATAGACAAGGCGGAACAGACAAGGCGCCTGGGCAAGCAGTTGTTGGCATTGGTCTAAAATGGCGACAACTGCAGGTTTCTTAATTCTCCCTTTGTACTGAAGATAATTGATTATAGGCAAGATGTCTCCTTGAATCACAACGCTGTCAATAGGAATGCCCTTAGCCATACAGGAGACATAGTACTCAAATGCAAGATTTATTGCAGCACGGCAGGCATGTGCTTCTGCTATGACATTGTCAGGACAAGAAAGCAAGGGGATGGAAAGCCACTGGACAAGAGAAGTGGAGGACGGCGTGACGTGTAGCAAGCTAACTCCTGCCCCCCCAGTTTGTGTGTTCTTATGTGCAGAGCCATCGAATTGTACCAAGCATCCTTGCCATTCTTGTGGCTCACCTAGCAGTAGAATTGTATTTGCGGGCATATCATCCATGGCTTGCAAGCGTAAATGCGTGGCTCCACAATGGCACACGAAGGGTACAAGACATGCAGTGGCAGTAGGGAAAGGGAGCTTTCGGTATTGTGAGAGAAGTAACCTTAGACGGTGGTCTTGCTTAACAAAGGTGGCAATGGTATCTCCTTTAGCAAAGGACTGCGTCGTCGCTAGTCCCTTGGAGGGGAGCAGTGCAGCTTCTAGTACAACCGCAGGGAAGCGCTGCAGCCTAATTTTGGTGGAGTCAGTACACGCACTGCTACTGGATTGCGGTGGAGCGCGGAAGCTTCTGAGCAGCGTGCTAGGCGACGAAGAATAGATACGCTGCCAGAGGTCAAGCACATGGTGCGAGACCTTACGGTTGTGCACACACAGGATGTTAGGTCGGAGTCCGCCACATTCGGTAACTAGTCGTCGAAGATGGAATAGCGTGTAGCAAAGTGCTACTCCTGTGTTGCGGGACGGTGCTTTGCGCCAGGTAATTTCTGGTGCCGGAGCAACCCACAAAGCAAGCCAGGTGAGATGCACAACTGGACAGAAGGATAACCAATGATCGATAGAGTTGAAACCACCCTGACAAAGCACACAGGGAACATACGAGCCAATCGCTCGACAGCCTACAGAGGACAGTAGGCGAGAAAAGGCAGGGGGCAGTTGCTTGGGCTCTGGCACGATGATCTGATGGAAATGCAAAAAGTTCTTGTTTTCATCAGAAAGGTAATTTAAGGTAAGATCGATCGGAGTAGCAGGTAGAAAACAAGTCGG